GCAGGAGGTCTTGATCCCAGCAGATAGATGAACTTAAAGTGCAGTCCCAAGTCTGCATCCCTGCTCCAAGAAAGAAAGCTCAATCTCACCTCTGTGTCTAGCATTTCTTACTCTGAGTACCTAACTTTCTATGTTGTTAAAATCTCATAACTTACTCTGTTTTCTGGGGCCAGGCATTTGTTTTTAGTGCCTGAAGGAGACAGTCTTTCAGTACGTGTGGTGGGAAAAACTATGCGTTGAAGTATCAAGTATTAAACCATTCATTGCTATTGTGAAATTAAGTGCAAATCCAATTATTTTACCAATATTTAAATAAAAAAGCCGTTAGATGAAGAAATGACATAATAACAAATTATACCGTTTTGCTCTTCTATCACCAGTACAGGTCCGCAGTTGTAGGAATAAAAGGATTAGTCTTTTGGGCAAGGTTTCATCTAAATTTGATAAAAATAGTCAACATCCAGTGACAAAATGACCCTCATGCCCTTTTTTTTCCCATCATTGCAAAGCTGAACTGGCATTAGCAATGGTGGATGTAAGAAAGAAATTAGTTTAAAAAAGAAAAAGTAGGAACAGTCTTACAAGTAGGAGTGAAATACAGAAACAGTGCAAGTTCGTTTTAACCAGGCAAAACACTTTTTTTTTTCATGTGTTCTGCATGAGGCATGGAAGAACTTACTTCATTACAGAACATCAGCCACTTAGCTGTCTAATCACTAAACACTGCAAAAAATTTATAAGAATGTAACATAGATTGCAGAGTCTCCGATAGCCGGGTATTATTTTGAATAAAACTTAAGTGAGATTTTGGAAAAGCCAGTTAAGAATCATAGAAACATAGAAAACAGAGTTAAAGGGAGCTGCAGGAGGTCATTCAGTTCATATATCTGCAGCAAAACAGGATCAGCTGTATATAAAACATAATTGCGATGTAGTTGTCTAACCTGGCTTTTAAAATCTGCAAAAAAGTTATGACCCACTCTCCCACAAGCAGACATAACAACACTTACCATCAAAAAGGGAGATTCTTTTGGGCAATATGTAACCTTAATTTCTTTACTGATAAAAGGTCAGATATTTGGTAGTGTAGTCCTAATGTTATAATTAGGAGGGTTAGTTGAGCGGTTTTTAAGGGACTTACAGTTCAATTTGCGGATGAGGAGTTGTAGAGGATCTGCCTTATTACCAAAATAATGTCAGGGTTTATCTAGATGATATCCAAGTTTTTATTACTCATTTTCAGCACTTTATTGATGTTATATTAGATGGGTCATATAAAAATCAATTTTCATTAAGTCAGAGGTTTTAGGAAATTGCAAGTGTTTAAGGTGCGTAATGCTGACACATTAGATGTTTCTATGTATGCTTTATGTGTCTTCTTAATTATAATGATACGGAATAAATATAGCAAAAAGAATGTCAGTTATCACTTTATATAGTAAGAGTGTTGGAATTATTCGCATACAAATGAAACTTTAAAACTAAAAAGGAGGGATGAATCATTTTTACTTTTTAATTTTTTAATGAATTTCTTATTTTCAAATTCTCATTACAGTGCATGGAAATTAGTAATTCATAGAAGAAATCTGGATCAAGTTTTACTGTGAACTTATATTAACATTTCTAATGAAAACTAAAAATACTGTTTGAATCAAAGAAGGAACTGAGGATACAATATACACTCTGCATATATTACTTAACATTTTATCTCTCCTTTCCTCCAAACGAGAATCTGACCTAGGTACAATATAATAACTTGAAAATTTCCAAATTAGCAATTACAATAGCTAAGCTTCAGACTAAAATACAAGCTTTACCCACTTTCTGAAAAATTTGCCTTAAGCTGCCCTTATCATCTTTCACGAATAATCTTATTCAGAGCAAAGTGTAATTATAGTGAAGTCAGCTGGAACTGGGGGCTACACCTTCTGTTAGTCGCTTATCTGTTTTTACCTGGTTGTTTTGGTTTTGTTATTGTTGCTGATCAAAATCAACAGTAAGATGAATTAAAAAAATGACACTGGTAAAGCCAGCATCTTGAAGGAATTAATGTAAGCCTGAACCCATCCTTTAGAGTGGTAATCTAGCTGCCTCTAAGTCTCTGTATCTATAAAAGTAATAACTCATACCAGTTATGGCTGAGTTTCTGTGTCCCTTCGTGGGATTCGGGATTTGAAGAGTGTAAGAGAGTAAGATAGCCTATCATAAAATGTCTGACAGCGCATACATCAGAAGGGTTTACTGGATAAAGATGCAATCTCTGTCCGTCTGCTCAAGGCATTTTATAACTTTCTTATTCTTTTGCAGATCACCTACAAAGCAGTCAGTTCCTTTGACCCAGAAATAGATTTATCCAATCAAAGTGGACGAGTCTCAAAGCTAGGAAATGAAACGCACTATCTCTTTTTTGGACTGTATCCCGGCACTACCTACTCTTTTACCATCAGAGCCAGCACAGCTAAAGGCTTTGGACCTCCAATCACAAATCAGTTCACCACTAAAATATCAGGTACTTGATTAAAGAATATTGTTGTTTGCTTATGGTAATGACATGGGTGATTTGTTGTTTACTTCTTGTTTAGGATTTAACAAGCAGCAAATTGGAAAAGTAAAATACATGTTTATCCCTGAAGATGTCAAAGTGACATACATTAACATATCTGAAAAACTTCCAAGTGCTTAAATATCAGCTCGTACTTTGAAATTCCTATTCACAACTGTAACTTATCACCCAAGAAACTCTATGAATTATGTGCCTGCAGTCAGTGCCAGCTGCTGTTGCAACATTTAGCATAGGGTTTTTTGGACATGAGGATGAGGGTTCCATTCAGAGCTTAGTCAGCCTTGACATGATTCTAAATTAGTACAGTAATGGTGCTGGAAAATCTCTTTAATGAGCCATGAACAATTGAGAGTAGAGCAGAAATACTATATGTCTAGCGCTTGCATAGAAAGTGTAGCTAAGTGCCAGCCTGCGTATGTTCCTAGCAGGCGTGTGGACTGAAGTGGATGTGAAACTGTATTAGACAAGAACATCAGGACTAGTGGTTTTCAGATAACAGCAGCATGACTCTGTCACTTCTACAGATCCATGAACAATATTTTAAAGCCCTCCGAGAGGCAGAGGAACACTTCATCTCTCTAGCTGATGGGATGCAATACTATTACATACTCTAAAATGCTTATATAATTGATGACAAAATGTTTTGCAAAGTTACAGTTGAAAGGTCTTCACTTCTCTACAGTCTTCTTGGGAATTAAACTGACAGTTGAACTATGGCCCCTCGATAATATTTACAGAAAACTACTTTATCTATTTGTGGTCAACTTTGCTTTTCAGAAAGGATAAAGGAAGGCATTTGGGTACAAAATATTCTTTCTCTTTTACTCTCATTCTTTGCACTTTTCCCCATCACTCATTTTCTGTCCTCACTGGAATGAAAAAAAGTAACAAGTGTTAATCAGAAATAGGGCAATTTCTTTTTTTTTATTATAGAAAAAGGCAGTTAATGCAAGGTGGAAATTATTGCCAATACAGCTGTTTGTATAGAAAAAAAACATTCTTAATTTTCAAGTTAGAAAATTATTCTTTATAGAAAGTCTAAACCTAGTTAACACTGATCAGTAACGCTGGGGTTCATTTTCCATCCCCTTTCCTATACTGAGCAGAAACTTTCTCTGTCAGAAATCAACTTCTGACATAGCAAGACTTGATAGGATGGCAGAATCAACCCTTATTAGAATGAGGAAGGAAGGAGACTATTGAGAGTGGAGGAGAATCTGGGCATTTGGGAATAGTGCTGGATCTTAAATTGTTGTTCTTTTCTAAATTTGATATGTCAGCAACTAAAACTCATTAGTGTAAACAGACATTGCAGGCATGCCTGGGAATGAGACTAACCTCCAAGTACCATGCGGTGAGGTTCTGCAAGCTGTCTTGTCTGCACCCCACTCTCTCCTTACTTCATGTTAGTTACTGTACTAATAGTACTTGTCTTTGAGTAGTTAAAGCCAATCTCTTGATGAATGTAAAATAGAAGCAGAGCGCATACATTTCTTAGTATGAATGAAAAATCACAACTGAAATTTTAGCTTTTGAATATGGTACCCTCTTTGCAGTGCTACTGGCCTGTGATCTCATTGTCTCACTGTAAGGCTTTGAGGCTCTTGATGTGGCCAGTGCTCTCCATTTTGGAGAGATGTGAAACGAAAATGCTGAACATTTATGGATAAAAGGTTTCACTGCTTTTTAGAACAGAAGAGGTAGCAACAGTGCATTCTGACCAATTTCTGAACTGAGTCATTGCATTTTAGTTTGTCTAACTCTAGACTGTATTTTCATTTGAAGAAAATACTCTTAATTTCCTGTGTTAAGTGTTTGAGTAGTACTATTCTGTACTGTAAATAGTTGCCATGTTTCATTCTACAGTTGTGTGATTGGCACTGATGGATGAAGTGATCTGTATGTAAATACGTATTACCAAAAGCAGAGCTCATAGCTTTGCTTGCTGTCAAAATTGATGGGCACTCTATTAGAAGACGGTTTTCTGTTGCATATAACTTTGTGAAAAGTCAGCTGTGCGGGCTGAAATTTTGTATGCTGCCTTTCATACTAAGAAGAATTTCATCCATTTCAGGAACATGGCTGACATCATGAGAAATTCTGGTGACTGATACATTACTGAAGTGCTTTCAAACAGGGATTTAAATATTTAGCAAGAAGAGAGACATTACTCTGAGCCATCTCTCTGAAAATCTGTCCAGATTTGGGCAATTTGTAAATGTTGCAGTTTGCACACAAATGGTGGAAACTTGACAGAATTGAGCAGCAAATGTCACCATAGGTGACATCCTTACTAAACAGATTTAAGTTCTCCAAGCTGTTAGAGCCTTGCCTGTGTGTTCATCAATTCAGTGTGGCCCAACACAGACAGAGAGTCTCTAAGGGCCTTACCTTTTAGTGCATCTGAGCTTTCTGCTGCTGAAGACCAGGGTGTGCAGTTGCAAAAACTGTGAACAGGAAGAGTATCTCCTGTTTTCTCTGTTTATTTCTCTTCTTTATATGTGGGCAGCGTGGAGGAGGAAGAGTCCTAACCTAGACAGGAGAAAAGTGTAAGAATAAATAATGTCCAAGTATCTGTGGAGAAGAGAAAAAGTAGCCAGGACTAAAAGGTGGGACTGGGAGAACCACAACTCATATCCTGGACAGGAAGACAATTTTGGTGGAGGGAGACTAAGATTAATAAAGAGTGCAAGTAGGAACCTAGGAGTCATAAGTTAGGAAGATTACAAGACTTGTTAAGATGTGGGCAGGAGACCAAGGTCAAGAAATGACACTTAGAGTGTTCCAAAAATGTTCAGAGTTCATACACCTTTTTGGAGATGCAGTTAGTCTGTGCTTCCCTTATTTTCGGGATGGTCAACTTGAGAATGGGGCATTATGTGAAGAAGTTCTGGATATTCAAAACTGCAAAACTGAAGTATGTGAAAATTGTGTCTAAATCTTTAAAGTACTGTGGAATATTATGCCTTTAGGCTTCTCAAAGTGGGTACCCAAATTACTTAAAATGATTAGTCTAAATGTTTGTGCCTTATATCCAGGATTGTAAACAGAATAAAACCCTCGCAGCTTACAAGGAGGTTTTTGAAGATTAATTTTTTTATTTGTGAAGCATTTCAAAACTGGTGAATATCCATGAAAGGCGATGAAGATGTTAATGTTTTCACAGCAGACTGAAGAGTTCTGGTCAAAAGTGTTAATGCAATCCTTACTTGGATATATAGGGCAATATGGATAAAGGAGAGAGAAGTTCATACACCTTTCAAGTAGATGCAGCTACTACTGGGAAGGTGAAAAAGATTGGAAAATATACTTCAAAGAAAGACTCATGTTGTTGGAGCTATTTAATTTTCTAGAGGAGCCTAGAGGTTGATATTATCTGTATGTGGAGCATAATACACTCTGAATAACTTCATCAGTATGGTACACAAAGTATCCAGTGTCTGGAAGATGAAGCTAAACAAATTGAGATGCCAAATAGGTCTCCATGTTCAACGTGAAGTATAATTAGCCATTGGAAGAACCTGCTAAAGAAAAGATCTTCTTCCCCACCAAATGTATTTTCTTTTTCAAGCAGGAATTTTGAAGCAGGAATTTTCAAGCAGTTCACTGCCCTGCATTATTCCTGTGGTCAGAAAAGATCATTGCAATGACCACTTTTTGCTTCCATAGCCTTTAAATCTGTTAGTTGTGTGTCATCATTGACAACTGGACAATAAGGATACAACAGACTGCTAAACAATTAATTAACCGAGCAGCCTTCCATCCAATATAATGATAAAAATGCGACTAGGTGATAGTACTGAAAAAAGTAGCAACAGTAAAAGACAATAACTGAGGCATTGTTTGTTTTAATCACAACTGTAATTCCTTAATGAAGACACAGTTTGCAAAAGTGCTATTGAGTGTGGCTTCAAACTAAGATAAGCTCTCGTGGTGATAATCCTGCTTCATTATTGTAAATTATGTCTGTGGTGGACAGTAGACCCAGGACAGTTACAGCACTAGTTAAAATTCCAGGAATGACAAATTCTGAGAGTGCATCCTAATAGCACTGACATACTGAGAAAGCTGGCCTTAGTTTCAAAAACTATAGTCACTTCAGCATGCACATTTGCAGATGCTCTTCTTGAGATAACTTTTCATTTCCAAATAATGGATTCTCAATACTTTCTGCAAACTTACTCCTACTAGTAAGTGTTTCCTGTCTTGAAATTGGCAATGAGCTGGGATTTCTTTGTTTGTTTGGGGGTTTTTTGCTGAAGTTATTTAACAGTTGTCTCACACTTGTGTTGTAAAAGAAAGCATCTTAGACCTACAATATGGTCTTTATATTTGAAGAAGTCTTTAAAATTACCTATTCAAATAAAGATACAGCTCTTGAAAGAAGAAATACAAGAATAATTATTATTTTTGCCTCTTTTCTTTTCTTATTCTAGCACCTTCTATGCCACCATATGAACTTGAAACACCTTTGAATCAAACTGACAGCACTGTGACAGTCTTGCTGAAACCTGCACAGAGCAGAGGCGCTCCTGTCAGGTACTGGGGGAAAATTCTTTATAAAATTAAACCCAAATTGATTAATTTTTTGAACGTGGGAATTTTCTACACAGCAATCAGTGTCTAAATTCATGTCTGTATTAGCTCTAATTAAATTAAATAACTGAAGAAAATGAAAGTGCTTTGATGTTGAGTGTTCGTGTATTGTTTAAAGGATTTGATCCAGATGCAAGTGGCTTGTTCTTTGAAGATAAGGAACAAAGCCATAGTTCTGTTGTGTGGGTGGCTTCTTTAAGGTAATTGCTTACTGCAGTGTTACAAGTTCAAGGGCGTATCACATTTTTTATGCTGAGCTACTGTCTTTAATATTCAGTCTTCTTGTTTACTTCACAGATTTAGGATAATCAACTCTTAGTAAGTTAGCCAATTTAAACAATATGTACTGTAACATTCATAAAGTATTTACATTTAATTGAACATGATAGCAGAAATAGAAAAAAAAAAATCAACCTGGAAAACCAGTAGCTCGGATTCTGTAGTGTTATATAGTACCCGTTAACTAATGTCCAATTTGGAGAGGTTTATTTCACCGCCAGATACACGATGCTGTGTAAGTCCTTGTTGCTTAGAATAAAAGGTGCCTGCTTTTCAGTGAAGAAAACAGAGGAATGGTTAGATTATTTTGAATAAGAACCAGTAATGAGCTCAATACTCTGTATAAATGAAAATACAGATGAGAGAAATACAGATTTTTCAGAAGTTTAGGATGTTTTTCCTTTTGGCTAATCATGTGTCATCAAAAATGGTTAATTCTTTTGTTTCTGTAGGAAGAGTTTCCACCTATAGTGAATGACTATCAATTATTTTCACTGTGGTGCTAAGGTTTTTGGTAATTTCTGTTTGTCTGGGAAATACAGATCTGGTATACTTGTATATGTGTGAATGAAAAGAAATGTTCTTTGGGTTTCTTCAGAATATTCAATGTTTCGTATAATCAGGTTTTTTTTACTATGCAACATATTCATGGTTGCATTATATATTATATGTATGTAGGTTTGCATTTAGGAAATGCCATCCTGTTGGTCATTCAGAAACTTTTTAAAAAGAAAATGCAACACTTTGGGGAAGTGTGAACCACCTGAGGAAAAAACAGAAAGCAATTAAAGCAGATTTAATGAAACTGTATGATTTAGCAGATTAGATTAGAAACAGAACGATTTGATGTTTGTTTTACTTCATCTCACAAAGCTATAGTGTAGTCCTTCCGTATTCAAGCATCTGGATTAAAATAATACCAGTTGGAGTCATTGTTTAAACACAAACTTATTAGACCATTAATAAAAAAACAGTTTCATTCCTTTTATCTGCATCATGAACTAAAGATGATTGACTCCTATAGCAGTAGTGACACATCACAAACTTCACTGACAATAGAAGAGAGCTACTTAGGAGATTAAAGTGTGCCAAGTAAGAGGATGAGTGGTTAGGAAAATAGGAGGAGAGATTTAAAGTAAGATGAAGCTATAGAACTGAGAGATGAACACACAGCAGCAAATTTAGCGAGGTCCTTTGCAACAGGTCTTAAAATAAAATGAATGCTGACTGCAAACTCACAGTGTAAATACTGAGTGAAGCAGAGTGAAAATTAAAGTAAGAATTTCTTAATACTTTTAACATTTTATTGTGCATTACACTCTCAAGCACACTGTCACTGCATAGTTTGCAGAACACATTCTGCGTATGGATTTTATCATCTTAATCTGTATTCATTGGGTGTTAAAAGTTTAGTCATACTTCATTTATGCACACCACTAAGCAAGATGCCTTGTCTATTGATTCTGCTACAACTACCAGCTTGGTTAATGCAGATTTTTGAAACTGCACTAAACTTGCAGTGTAAATGATTGTTGTTGTTTTATTGATCAACACATCAGCCATGTCACATAAAATTCTTTAATTCCTGAGGTGGGTAAGGAGAGCACAAATTCTACCATTCAAGTCAACAAAGCTAATACCTGAGGTCATTCAGAATTCCAGCTTTCTTCTGTGATTAAATTCTTTTTCTCTACTTAAATATGAAAAATCCTGATATCTTATACCTTATTTAGAATCCGCACACAACCACCACAACATAAAAGGAGAGAAAGGGCAATGCTGATTGTTTAAATGTTGATTCAAAAAGCAGACTTTATAGGAATGTTCAGGAAGCTCTGTTTACAACGATAAAGTACACACACATTAATCATGAAGGCCAAATGGCATTCCGGGTTGGTTTAGAATTCATAAGACTGGACATGATTAAAATGTATTTTGTCAGAGTTTTAATACAACAAATACTGCTTGCTTTGTCTTCAATTTCAGGTCCAGCATGTTTTGTGGCTGTTGCTGTGTTTATTTCAAGGAGATTATTTCGGAATTGTATATGTTTAAAGCAGTAATGCATTCAGTAATGATGAATGTATGCACTTCTAACAGCTGGCTAAGCTGGTCTGATTTTTAGAATGACTGTAATTTGCAAGGCTTTTTTTTTTTAATTTAAGGTGATGGCTCTGTGGAAATTGTGTAATATATGTCTTATTGTGGATATTCTCTTTTTTCAAAGATTTGTGTACGTAAGAGTCAGTAAAGTTTTAAAGAATTTGCATAAAAAGCGTACAAATGCAAATATTTTTTCTATGAGTGCTCTTCAACAACTATTGAGGGACTCACTCTTCCAAGGCAGAATCATTTGTACCTTTTACTTCTTCAGGGCAAGTTAGCTTAAAGTTTAAAAGACCCTGGGGCCAAATTGTCTGGAGGTACATAGATTGGTCAGTTCCATTTACTTCAACTAAGGAATGCTAATTTATTGCAAAGATCTGGCTCATACATAGAAATGAAAAATATAATGCTCGGTGACTGCGTGTATTTAGTGTTATTTATATATTCATCTATGTTAGAAAGAGCTTTAGATTGTTTGCCGCACTCCACTATAAAAGGCTCCTCTGACCTTCTCTGGAAAGTTTTCCTGCAAGTTTTTAGCTTCAGCGGGGAGAAGCAAGTTTTCTTTGTCGCATAGATTTCCATTCAGTCTTGCCATGATAAAGGTTGAGTGTTTCCACTTCTTTTATCTCACTTATGTAATCAGCAAAATGCTGTCACTATACCACCCTCCTCCTGCTATTCTGTGGCACATCTCAAAAAGCCGTAAGAGTAAACATCACAAAGACTTTGGCTCAGATAACACCGGAACCAGCTGGTGATAGCAAGTACTCTGGGAGCAGTAGGCTGGGGAAAGGAGCAAGAAGGATAAGAAAGAAGGCAAGACCATCCAGGTTCTACTCTGCCTCCTGGTCTCTTTCTCATATTACATTACAGAGCTTGGCTCAGCTGGATTTGCCCCATTAAACCCTTCTATTCAGTGAATGGCCCATTCAGCCACCCTTGCTGCTCTTACAGACACCACAGACAGTTGGTACTTTCCTCTTCCAGCCTAAAGTGAGAGAACAGGAGGGCCAAGCATGTCAGCTAGCAATGCCCTGTGGATGCAATATGTGGCATTTAGGATGCCAGGCTACTTCCTGTGCTGAATATGTGGGATCAGTCCTGCAGCATCTGGGGCTGCAAAGCCCAGACAGGATGAGAGGGAGAGAGAGAATTGCCAGCAATTGCCAAGTAGTATAGTTTAAAAGTACCTTAAAGAAGACATGCAGAAAGAAGCAAATAAACTTTGAATTATGCGAGTTGAAAGCTGAGAGTGTGCTAGAGTGAAGGCAGTCTGTGTACTCTCAATGCATCCCCTTTATCACCAGTGTGCCCAACTTCTTCAACATGCATAACTAAGAACAACTCTACTGGGAAAATAAAGCAAACATCTCTTCACTTGAAATGCTTAATTTTGAAACGTATTTTTAATCTCTCTTCCCTGAAGAAGTAATGTATATTGTATTTCAGCCCAAAAGGCCATATTAAGTTATTAAGTATTTTGAAGTGCAGCTGAAATAGAAATTTCAAACTACGTCATCTAGTGATAAGCACTCCTTTCTACTACTTCATCAGAGAAACACTTCATGATGTGTTCAGATTGTCTAAATTCCAGAGAGATTTGCATTTCTTATTGGCCTAATCCAGACCTTTAAAGGCACCCTGTAAATACTGGGTTCATTGTCACAGGTGGAATTAAGGCCATCTGCATATGATCCCTAGAATAGGAACAGCTTGAATCAAAGGAAGATGCATGGTGTGAAGAAACCTTTGTCAGCCCACGTCCAGGGAATACTTCATTCTGTATGTGGCTTAGCCATTTCAACAACACTCATAGTATAATGATTTGTAAATAAATGACAGAGGACACCTAATTCCTACCCACTGATTAGCAGTAGGAAGGAGTAAATTAAACTGAGGTGGTCACCTTTGAAACACAAAGACTCATATGTGATGCAACAGTTCCCCACTGGAACCACTGTGCGCTGCACATGAAGCAGAGGTCACAATTGCCTTCCCATCCCTGCCACAGACATTGCAAGGTAGGAGGACGTTTTCTTAGGGCCTCACCTCTTTCCTTCAGCATGACTGGTGCCATGAGGATCAGCCTTCTACGTGTCTGGCCATCCCGTCTGCTTTGTCACTGTGTCTACTCACTTTCTCATAGGCTGGCAGCAGGAGTTTGCACTCCTTGTGCCACGTCAGTCAGGGCATGAAATACTGTTCAGACACTTCCATAAGAAGGAATGGAATCATCTGAAGCCTGAGAGACCTTTTGCAGGACCCCCCAATCTGACAGACAGCCTTCCAGAGAAGCCACTACCTACCTAGCTTTATTCTTGAAACTTACCGTCTTCACAAAAACACTTACCTGGTCAGCAGATCAGCAGATTAAATTGTTTCACTGGCAATCAAGAAATCCAAACAAAAGCTAGCAAGCTAGTCAGGCTGTTTGGAAGCCCATGGCAGATATCATTGGAACTCAAAAAGCGGCAGGGCTTCAAGCAATCTGAATACAAAATTTTCAGGATATTTTCCGTAACCTTTAAGAGACCACGGGGCACTTGCGTTGCTGTTGTGAGTACATGGCAGCCATAGGGCTGGGCCTCAAAGTTTCAGTCCATTTCTCAGAGAAGAGGTACTAGTATCTCAGTCTGAGTCTCT